ATAGCAAAGCCAGAGAACACAGGAACAGCAGAAGCATCAGATGCATCTGGACACACTTTACAGGATGCGCTTAGGGAACTGACCAGAATAAAAGCATTTACTATAAAAAGAAAATATCCTAATCTTCCTTAAACGAATCAACATTTGTTGAACATTTTTTTATTGCCAAACAAGTTGCTTTTCTTAGAATTTAGCAAATGAAGAATCTGAGTGTATCCTGCTGCCTATACTGTGTTTTAACATCTCCTACCCTTTAAGAACTGGAGAGAAAAGGATGGGAGTAGTAAGTGAAGGTTGTAATTTGGAGGCGCTAAGCTTTAGATAAATCAGAAGCTAAAAATTACTATGAAAATAGATCCTCAACAGTAAATACACAGTCATGGACACAATTATTAGACCACCTTGTTTTTGTAATGTATAATGCTAATAACTCTAGAGCATTATGTCACAACAGAAAAGAAACCATAATGCCAAAAAGCTGTTGTAGGTAATCCAATGGCATAGCTATTTATGCAATAACAACAGTGAGTTTGGTCATTATCAAGACAGAAATAAAAAATGGGTAAATATCAGCACTTAAATCACACATTTAATCACTACTTCAAGGTATTCTATTTGTCTAAACATATTGTGGTAATAGACATTAAAACAAACAATAAAATGAAGAAAAACATAGTGTTCTAGCACCGTAAATATATCCAGAATATTGCCAACCCCCAGGAAGAGCCGTATTGGTATGGGTACTGCGGAAATACAACAAAACAGCTGTTTTTCTTTTAAACAGAGATAAAACTGCCTGTGTAAAAAAATTAAAATTGTACTTTAACTTTGCAAAGCCATAACCTCTAAATGCTCACAGAAAAAGGCTGGCTTTTATTTTCTTTTAGGTAGGCTTTACTCATAGGAGAAGAGGGGCACAGAACTACAAAACACTATTGTCACACCTGATTATGTGGCGTCTGACACAGAATCAGCAGGGAAAACAGCAATGGAAACAGAAAAACAACTTGGAGACAAAATCTGTGATCTCAGATTCACCTTGTCTCCAAACCACCGTCCAAGGCAGTGATCCCTACTAATCCCCACTTTGCCTGGCTGCTGGGTTGAGCCAGAAGGCATGTTTACAACAGCAGCATTCATGTATGCTGACATTCTGTCTCTCTGGACGTGAAGAGAACAGACGAAACTTTAGGGAGCTTTGCTTTTGGTTTCAAACAAAATACCTGACACACCTGTAAGTACTGTGAGGGATGCAAAATAGTTCCTGTGAAAATAGCTAGTAAAATTTTCCAAAAAGGATCAGCGTGTCTACTTCAGCCACAGTTTCCGTTACCATTAAGGTTATTTAAAGATTATTTAACACGGTCATTTATAACTGAACTAATGTATAGAGATTTATTTTGGGGAGAAAAAAGAACCGAAACACTAAAGTCCCATAAATTAATTCGACTGTGATCATCTGCTTTTTTGTGCTAAAATGAATGAGTCACAGATTTGGATAAGTTTCTCATTTAAGCTGCACAGAGATAATGCACAGTAGATGTGATACATTCCATTTGTTGTAACTGGTATGTTATCAATGAGATGAAGAAGAAAGATAAAAATCAGAGAAGTCATTTCAACAAGAAAAACAGCTGAGACCTGATGCTACACTGTAAAACAAGGTTATCTCAAGTATTTATACAACTCCAAGGAGCAATAAAAATGGAACCTAATTAGGTCCAGGTCTTGGAGCAATGTTATTTAGATGCAGGGTCTAGCCAAGTAACGGATCTGCTTTCCTTGTTCCAATATACGATACATAGGAAGACAGGGAATTTATTGACAAAAACAGGATTTGCTCCTGCAGATTGCAATGTCTCCATTTCAGCTCGTTATTGTGATCTACATCATCAATAGCCAAAACAAAGCTCCAGTTAATTTGCTCTTTCATTATTAATGTATTTTTGCCCAAATGCACCATTATTTGCAGAGTTACTAACCATATGGGATATTTTGACCCCTAAACAAACTAGGGGTAAATGAGCATTTTAGACAATTCTGAATTAATTGATTATCAAAACTCGCTCTTACTAAAGCTGATTCCTGATCCAATTCTAAGTACTGGGGGTTTGAAGTTTTTTTTTTTTTTTTTTCTACAACTGTGGGGTTTTAATAGTGTTTTGTGCACCATTTCTGATGAGGGCGAGCTAAAATATAACAAGCTGCTGATGTAATAATGTATTGTTGACCTGAGTTTTTTAACTGTTTTTTGTTACATTTTTGTTCAATAAATGTTTTGTTAAAAATCAAAACATCAAGTAATTTAAAAGGATGAAATGAGCAGCTCATAGGAGCAGCAGGCCGGCAGATTATGGGAGTAAAAATAATGCAAACATAACAGATATCTGCTGTTGTCGCACTCAGACAACAGAGGTGTAGTCTCTGAATAATTCAATCATTTTCAAACAATCATTCTATCAGAATTCTGGACTGGCTTGCTCTGTGTAGGGTTTCAGGAGGGCAGTGCCCTTTTCCACCATACATTAGGCAGGAACGCAGGGTACAGAAAACCTTGACAGGCTGCAAGTCCATCTCAGGGAAATGGAGAGATGTATAATAAAAATGATCACCATCATGTACTGTGGGAGGTAGTTTAAGGGACCTGGAGAGAAACTCTGTATGCACAAGGAAGAATTAACAAACTTAAAGGTATTAAGCAAAACAACTTGAAGATAACTCTTCTTCTGCTGCTGTTATTCACAGATGTAAATTATTAGTCTGCATTAGTGGCACTGAAACTTACCCCATTAACCAACCCACAACCATATTCAACAGAAAGGCTTTTTTTTCATTTAGACAAATAAAAACTTAACAAATAGCCCTTCCTTTGAATACGTAACCTAAATCTAAACCAGAATAAGAAGCATTTGAAAATCTTGCAAACTTAGCTGAGCAGCTGTGAGAATTCAAAACCCAAAACAAAATTTCAACATGAGCCAATCATCCGACAATAAAAGCAATCATGCTTGGCAGGGAGGATAAACGAGGAGGAGGAAACCACTGGATATTGGAGAGAGTTCTGATGCATAGAGATTAACAGCAACACTGCCTGCTTCTGTTGGCTGTGTTCATCATGGAGCCGTTCACAAGTCAAACCAAAGCCAAACAAAGCGAAACTCAAAGAATTGTTTAAGTACAGCAATTTTAACACTAAAGATAAAAAAATAAAAACATCTGGACACCTGAAATGTGATAAAGTTGGAGAAGAAGAAACGTGGATTGGCCATCATGGAGATTTCTCAACAGATTCAAACATTATAATGATAAAACAACATTTGCCTTGAACTACAGGCCCATAGTTAGAGCTGCAAAACTGTATTTGTGACACAATCTTAAGAGATGTGATTTGATATGTATATATATATATATGTCATATGTAAAGGAACCGTAAATTATATTAAGTGATTTTGCAACATTCACTTATGCCCAGGCACAAAGCAACACTATATAACCTGTTGAATTTTAACCTTTAATATAAATTGGATATGTCTCATCTATATTAAGATTTATTCTTAACATTTTTTTTTTCAGAAATAATAATCAGCACTGGAGAAGATCCTACTTTTCAGTTAAGCTGCATCCCCAGACATGCAGCCTTGCTTAAACATTTTATTTCAAAGCATTGTCAGTGTATTTATCCTCTCAAAATAATGTAGGCAAGGATCCAATCAAAAGCGAAAAAGGCATGTTGTTATTAAAATACATTAAGTGTAATTTTTTTATTAAGTTATTGTTAAATAGTTTTATAAGCTCAACTTAACCACATTGGGTTGTTTTTTTATATAATACAATTAGTTAAACACACATGAAAGCTGAACATTTAAGCAACATTAAGAAGCTGTGAAAACTGATCTAAAACCCCAGGACTCATACATACAAACCTATAATTTGACAAAGACAAGTTAAATTCCAGCTCCCTGGTATTAGGACTATTGTCCTACTGTTGATATAAAAAAAAGAATTAGAAGACTTTGTACTCAATATTCCCTCTTCAAAAATATGCCAGAGAAAAGTTTATTTCATCAGCTCATCCTCTACGGTTACCATTTGGTATCAATATCAGTTTTCACCTGCTGCTAACTGTGACCACGGGGTAAAGTTACACAAGAGTTGCCCAGGTTCATGACAAAGTTTATCGCTGTGTTGACTCTTACTTCACTACTTCACCCAGTCAGCACCCTGAGTCATATGCGCTGACAAAGCCATGGAGAAAACCAAAAACATTAAATCATCAGAAGGAAACTTAAACCACACCTTAAAATCAAAAGTTAGTTAATTCATTTAAAAACCTTCCTTCCATTATCTGTTTGATTCAGACAAGAACACACTGGTTCTGTAAACAAAGAATAGACTACAACCAAAAAGGGGTGTGCTGTACTGATACACATGTGAAGTCCTGTGTTGGCATGTTGCAATCACTCAGGAATGTATAAGCCTCAGAAGTAATGAGGAGTTCAAGTTTAAGAAAGTGAGGGGCCGATTAGTATCAATTCAGTTTATTTATATAGCACCAATTCACAACACGTCGTCTCAAGGCACTTTACGATTCACCAAATAATACAATCAAATTGATTCAAAGTTTTCTAGCTAAGGAAAACCAGTTGATTGCATTGACTCATTGACTGGAATGCAATCCCTCACACTAAGCATGGTTGTAGTGACAGTGGAGAGGAAAAACTTCCTTTTAACAGGAAGAAACCTCCAGCAGAACCAGGCTCAGTGAGCCAATAACTTCCTTCATAAAGCAGAACTTTGACCAGAGTCATGAACACCACAGTGCTGCCTTTGAAGCTCTGTACAGCTGATCAACAGCCTGTGGTGGTGACAGTAATTACAGGTAGGGTGTCTGTGTGAAACCTGAGGAAGGAAAACCTAACCAGCAGAGTTTAACACCTGGGCCTAACTCTACGGATAACTAAAACAGATGAGTGCTTCATGTCCAGCCAAGTCATACTCACAAATTTCTTTTTCCCATCTCCATCGTCGTCTTTTTTCTTTGATTTCTTTTCCTTCTCCTTCCTGGGTGCAGCAGATGAGCTCCCCGTGTTTTGATCCATATTAATATTTGACGCACAGGTCGACACGTGTAGCGAAAAAATGTTCCGTAACTTGGAGGGTAAAGTTTATTCCCAAAGCTCCTGTGTTAGTATCTCGGAAGGTTATGCACAATTAGCAGAGGTCTGCTAATAATTTGGTAACCAGCCAAACGACCCCCCCTTTGCAAATCTGCCCGTCTTTATGGCTGAAGGAGGGAAATTCAAAGCGCAAGCCTCGCTGCTCGGCTCTAGTGGCACGAAAACAACCTGTTGCGTCTGAGGAATACCAATGAGTATCTACCTCCGTTACTTCCTATAGTTTACACCATCCACGACGGTCACCGTGGTAATATTAAACCCCCAGATATGCGGCAGAGAAAAAGCTAACGTTAGCTGTAGCCGCGGTTAGCTTACGGGCTCCTGTAAGGAGTTAAAGCGGAACAAAAAGCCTCCAGGACTGTTCCGCTGCCGCCAGTTTTTTTTGGCGACAACAACGCGGGTTCGGTTTTATAGATGCCCAGAATCGATGTTGTGTCCGAAATTGGTTTCCATGGCTGTTCGACAAAGTTTAGGGAACTTTTTAACCCCTGGTTGACGAGAGGGAAGCGAGTAGTTCTCAGCGGTAGACTTCTTCCTGTTCTTTGACAGTCCTGCCAAGGGGGCGGAGCCATGCCAAGGGGGGCGGAGCCTGCGCGCAGGCGCTGCACCTGAGAGGATTTAACTGACAGATCACTGCACTGCACTGATCAACACTTCTTCACGTGTTTACATCCCACTCAAAACCTGTGCAAAGATATACAACCGGAATTCTCTTTCATTTTTTAATAATGTTTAACTTAAAATAAAGTTTAGTTCCATTTAAAAAAAATACACTTAAATTAGCCATGAGTACTTAACAAAAGTATAGACTTGTTTGCATTTAGTTATATTACAACAACAAACTTCATTTTATTCGGTTTTATTATCATAGAACAAGACAAGCAAAATTGTGAATGGGAAGGAATATGTTACAAATTAAAACTTAGAAGTATCAACATCTGAAAATTGTAACCACTTTTACAATCCCTAAGGGATGACCTACCAGCTCATATTATGCACATTAAAACTGGTGTTCAGTTGGTTGTTTTTTTTTTTTGTTTGTTTGTTTTTTTGAGGATTTAGCAAGCAGATTTGCATAAAAGTATTCATCTCTTATGTTTATTTTATGTTTTTTTATTATCTTGCTATAGCCACCACTCACAGGTTCTTAATCCTGGCTAAAAAAAAAATAGTTAAGCGTGAAAAAATGTATGTACAAAACAAGAGTATGTTTTCACACTCATGACAATGTTGATCCTTTGGAATGTAAATATTGTAAAATAGACATTTTAAGCAGAATATTCTAAACTTTGAACATTCCTTTAGGTCGTTCTATTTCCCTAATCTGAAAATGGCACAGCAAAAAAACATACCAAGACATGGCACCCACATACACTGACAGGATAGGAAGCGTGATCATCTGTCAGAGAGGAGCAAATATGTTATATTAAAAAATGGAAGTGCTGCAGAGATCCACAGCTAAGGTTGAAGAATATGTGGAATAGTGAGAACTAATATTTGAGCAGAGGTTTAACTAAGTAGAAATACTTAGTTATTGTGCTTAAGTAGCTTTTTATGTACCTTACTTAAATATCTGTACATCTGAGAGCTTTTTACTTTTACTCCATTCATTTGAACACATATATTTTTTTTTAAACATGTTTGATAAAAACAGGGGGACAACAGCTGCAACAACACAGGAAAAATTAAGAGGGCAATTGAACCTGTCGAGCCCAGTTTGAGCCCAGTTTGTTTACCAAAAAAACTGATAATGACATGGATGAAGTGGGGGGAAGCTGGGAAACATTGCAGACGAAGGATCGGATTCTGAGGCACACATTTCCCTTTATTAAATTTGAAATGTAGGCTTCGATTTCAACTTTAACTCTATTTGCAACTATTGTCCTGTGAACAAACGAGCTCTAAAAAGTATCCAGCTGTTGATGCAGGACCTCTGTTCGGTTCAGTCAATATTAGCCTGTCTGATATTAAATTTAGAACAAAATTGGACCGAGTTAGAATTTATTTTAGGTTCTCTTTACCAGCATGGCGAGCAAAACAGGAAAAAGTAACTTTTAAATGTGCATTGAATTGTTGTTTAAATACCAGTTTTCAAAATAGTATTTTGTATCCTTCAAAAAAAAAGGTAACTTCAATATTTTTGTCTGTAGGTACAATGTAAAAGCTGTATTTATATTTTACCTTTAGTTTGGTAAAGGAGTTTAATCAGTACTTTAGTTTTGCCAGAGTGTTTTTTAAACCATTATTTGTACATTTAAGAAAATGAAGTAAATATTTTTTACATCTTCGTATTTTTACACGGTATGAATCCAGTCTTAATGGAACAATAGAAAGAAGAAACTCAATATTGAGGAGACATAAAAAAAAAAAAGATTTATAGTTGCTTATAAGCCATGTCAATGATTCAGTAAAGCTGTGGAGGAAGGTGCTCTGATCACAAGAGACCAAACATGTTTTGGTCTACATGACAAATGTGAGGTGAGAATTCAACTCTAGAAACTAAAGCAAATTCTGCACTTCACCCTGATCAATGCTTCCCCACAGGAAAATATGAGCGGGATGAAATCCTGTTTGTTGGGATACTTGTCTTTAGCAAAGGTGTGAAACTAACCCAAATTCATATGAGATTAAAAGAACTAAACCCATCACATCCTTAAAGGAAAACATGCTGCAGGCTGCACAAGCCAGGATGGTGTGCTGTGGTTCGCCTTCCAGTACAACAATTAATAAAACACCAAAGTTATGATGGGATAGTTTCATGTGTTGGAATCTCAAAAAAATACATTTATAAAAATGTATGTTATAAGGGGAGTGGTGGCCTAGTGGTTATCGCATAGAGCCTGGTTCTGAGTCCAAGCCGATTCCCAGAGACTGCGTCTCTGAGCAAGAGCCTTTATCCCACACTGCTCCCCGGGCGCCCCACAATGGCAGCCCACTGCTCCCCAAGGGGATGGGTTACATGCAGAGGTAAATTCTCCAATGTGAGATCAATAAAGTTCAATTATCTACAGCTGAACTTAGCTATCTGACGATAAAATACTGTATTTTCAGATATGTCAGTGTGAAATCAACATTTACAAAGCTGATAGAGACCATCCCTAAAAATAAGTGGATGTAATAGTATTGAAAGGGATGAGAAAGCATTGATTTATTTAGGCTGAGGCATCTGCCACATCTGGGATTTTTATTTTAACGAACTAATTTTCTTGTACCTCTTTCCTTTAATTTTAAACTATCCGGGAATTTGTGTTAGTCAGTGAGTTTAAATTTCAACAAAACACACGGATGTAGCTGGTTTTATCGGACAAAATGCCAATAAAGTTCAAGGCCTATAAATACTTTTACACGGAAATGTATAAGCAAATGTCTGTAACCAAAACAGGTCATTTCATCTGTTTGGATCTGTGAGGAATTTCAGTCTCTTGTGCTGGAAATAAAATACTCTAAGTAGCTTTAAAGTTAGGGGATCTTCAGAGGAAGGCAAAGTTTCCTCAGGAAATATCTGTTAGGTTTTTTTTTGTTATTTAATCCATCGTAAAACATAAAATGTGAAAATGGTTTTCCTCAAAGCTCACTGTAAACTGATGTAGAGGGATCTCACTCCATTTAGCTATTCCCAGTGTTTCTCTTTCCAAGGTAAAAGTGCATCCACTCCCTCACTATTCTCTTTCTTTCTCACCACTATAATCTTCATATAATCAACATCTGATTTTCCTTAGGTCACAGATTCCTTGACAGCAAAGATGGAGACGTTCTAATTCTTCATGTCTTAAAAAAAGATTAGTTAACCCTGGTGTTCTTTATCGTGAAAAGACAAACTGCACACCTCTCTTTTAAGGGATTCACTTTTCAGTCTCTATTATTTCACCTTTTTGTAAATATACTTATATATATCTTCCCAGCCTTCAGCAATTTGCTCTGCAACTTTGCTGCGCACACAAATAATAAGACCTGAAGCGCCACCTTGTGGTTGAAATGTAAACAGCAGTTATTTCCCCGGCCCCATTGTAGCAGAATGGGTTAATTTGGTTTGGTTAGATGTTGAATTAGTTGGTTTCGATTTGACTTTACATAGAGTACAGCAACTGCAAATAAAATATATTTTTTCATACATTCATTTCAAATCTATTATGGTAAATCAACACCAAATTATGCCAAAGTACAAAATAATCATCCAATTCTTTACTTAATAAAACAAAACATGAAATTTTCCTTATCAATTGTATGGGAATCTCTGCCCTTCGACTTGATATTAGTTGAGACATATAGATGAAATTTTGACAGAATAAATGTTTGGTATTATTTTGCTGCATTTTTCATGGATATAACAAAGTATAATTGAGTGCATAACTTTGACTCAGACATACACAAACTTGTAAACAGACATAATCTCCTCTTTATCACTAACATTCAGAGAGAGACAGAGACAAGCCCATTTTATCTGTCCTGGTATGTGAGTGATGTTTCCCAATAACAAGTCTGGAAAGCCTTGAGCATCACCGGTGGCAATGAAAAACACTTTGGGGTTGTTGTTTTTTTTTATCACACAGGACTGAGCCACGGGTCCTCCTTCTTTTGGATTTTATGATATCACATTATTTCTATGAGAAGTTAATTATAAAAGTAAAGGCTTGATAAGAATAACAGCCTTGCGGCACTGCATGTTAATGCCTCTGTGGGCTTAATAAATGATAAAACAGTTGGCCTTTCACATCAGCGGTTTACACCAGTTTGTCCTGTATTGTTCACTCATGAGTAGACAACCGGAAGGACTCCAGAAGACATATCAGTTTCTTTATGCAGCAATATATAACCACCTTAATCTGTCATTTGATATTTTTAGAGTTCCAAAAGGTTTCAGATTGTATTATTCTACTATAATTCCCTCACAAGACAAGACAGAGTTACAGTATAACAAAATACTTTTTTACAGACTAGAACAGTAGTTTCTATGTAGACTCATGTTTTTATGAAGAAAAACAGGCCCAGGGCTCAGTTCTGTGATGCAAAGTGTAGGCGCCACGTCAGATTTGTAAGCATTTGGATGAGTTAATGCTGGAACGAATGACTGGAATGAATATCCTGGAAAAAAAAAAAAAAATTGGCTTCCGTTTTGTAGAAAGTTTCAGGTGAATCATGGCAGAGGATGACTGTTTCACGTTTCATTCTTTACATGAGCAGAAACTTCAGTCCTCCCTGATCATTTTGCAGGTCCCCACTGATGTGTTTCTACCTTTCTCAGATCTGTGGGCAAAATCTCATAACTGATTACATTCCAGGTTGGAGATCCAACAAATGTGCAACTAAAGCTGACTATATAGCATGAATTCTAGAGGTTTGTCCCTCTGGGAGGTTATTTGTAGGAGGTCCGGGCCTCTCTCAGTGACCTGTCATATGGCATGGAGGCGAAGAAGGAGTTCCTCAGCTGGCAGTTGATGAAGAACACAATGAGTAGGATCAGCAGGAACAGCAACAGGCACATGACTATGTAGGTGATCAGGTCCGGTTTGTGCAGCTCTCCCTCCCGGAGCCCCC